TCTCGCTCCCCTCCATCTTCCCTCCCCAGCCCCGTCCCCACCCATGCCCCTCCCGTCTCGCTCCCCTCCATCTGTTCCCTCCCCAACCCCGTCCCCACCCGTGCGCCTCCCGTCTCGCTCCCCTCCCTTCCTTCCCCTCCCTTCTTTCCCCTCCCTCTTCCTTCCCTTCCCTCTTCCCTTCCCAACCCCGTCCACCTCCACCTCCATCTTCCGTCCCCGACAACGTAAGCTTTTCCTCGCTCTCCCCCGGCACTAGCGACTAAACGAGAACCCAAGCATCGGAGATGCTTTTGGGAAAAACAAAAAAGCCGCCTTTGGAGAATATCGGCATGCCTGCAAAACCCAAAAATAGACACCCTCCTGCCGCCTGCCTCTCACTACTGCAGGCTCTTGGATCTGATAAGCCAAACACACCCCACCACAATTGAAACTACTTACCCTAGACGGCCTAAAAAAGAAGAGTACATTTCATTCGTACACATTGGCGTTTAGATTTTCCGTTCCTATGCTTGTGCGCCAAGGCACGGATGCTTGGCCGAGGCCCCACAGCGGCACTGCGCAGCATCCAGAACAATAGAGAGATCGAGGCTTTTGCTCAAGCCTCAGCGCAAGTTGAAGCTCTCGAAGTTGAAGTTGCCGCCAGCAGGAGTGTGAGAAACACTCTTTTGAAGCAAACAATCTCAAGCATTCAGAAGCCTCAGAATTCCTGATAAAAAATCTCGCCATGCCACAGAACTCTGCACAGGTCCGTGGACTCTCCATGGCCAAGCGATAGAAGGGTAGCCCGCCACAGCCGGCACCGCTCCTACGGCGCGACGGAAACTCAAAGAATCGGAACAACGAAAAGGCTTCTTGTTCCTTGTAGCGATGCCAGGAGCTACTAGTAGCGTCCTTGCTCCTAGTAGTGATGCCCTTGTTCCTAGTAGCTTCTTGCTCCTAGTAGTAAGGCCAGGAGCCCCTAGTAGCTTCTTGTTCCTAGTAGCAATGCCGCTCCTAGTAGCGTCCATGTTCCTAGCATTAATGCCCTTTGCTACTAGTTTCTCCCGGAACGCTCGGAGAAGTTTGATACCAAAATGACTCGTCTTGAGCTGACTTTCGATGGTCCAACACACAGGGCCCATCATGGGACCTCAAAAACACAAAATAATCCTTTGGCCTGGGAGAGAGCATTGTGCTGGGCCCTGAGGAAGAAGGATTTGCAGGGTGGGTGCCATGTCAATGCGTGGGTCGCGCCCGTTATGTTTCGACTGAGTTGGGGAATCTTGGGAACAGTTTTTGGTACAGCATCCACCTTCTCGCCTGTTGCTGATTCTGTCACTGTTTCAGCCGAGTTGGCATTGTCAATAAGGGCCGTGCCAACCACTGGTTGGTTAATACAAATGAGCAGGGTACCTCAGACTCCAGCCTGTGGAGGCGGGTGGATGGGTACCACCCAGCCCTGTGTGCTGCACAAAGCAGCCAGAGCCAAAACAATGGACTGACACAGTTCCAGTCAGGATATAGGTCACGATAAAGTCATGCATATCCTTTGAGCTCCACCCAAACAGGCACAAAAGACTCTGAGTGAAATTACCCTGGTGCATCTTGTCGTTTGAGTGAGTGATTTACTGGTTCTTCGCAGTCATGGAACTCGTGCTTGTAGACATCTCTAGACTCACTAGGTGGAGATATGTTGACACATTGACATGTCTAATGGGGTAATGGCCAGGCTGACTCGAGCGAGACGGCGTTTTGACGACAATTTGACAATCTATGAAACTGACATGTGACATCTTCCGACCACCTTTTTCATTTGATGTCGATGTCTCTTCTTTCTTTTGAAACTAGCATCTGTCTGTAAAAGAAAAAACACTCCCTGGTCTAGTCCTCATGCAGGCTTTGTCGTAGAGGGCAAATCTGTACAAAAGCAGCCCAGGGACTTGAAAATGGGAGCCTTAGGTGATTTTAGTGAATAGAACCAGGAAAGGGGCACACAGCACCTACAGCTATCCGCCCTCAGCACCGAACCTCTCAAAAACGCTACCCTTGTGGTGGCAGGAGTTGCCACCTTTGGGGCAAAGTTGACAGAACACACCCTGTTCCTTATTAGTAACAAGAATCAGCTACTAGGTGGAGGCCATCGCTACTAGTGCAGCTTCTATGTTCTGCGAAGAAGTTCACCCTCCGTTTTCGACCTCAAGACGGTGAGCAGTGTGAGCAGTGCCTCCATCTCTGGACACGGACGATCTTGGCAGCTTGGCATCACCTTGTGTGAGTTGCGCAGGGCGTCGCAGGACGCGACAAGACTATTCCCTGAATTGCTTCGACGGGAGTGCTATGTATTACATGCTATTACCAAGACCATTACAGATCATTACAGCATGATAGAACAAGCAAGACGTGAGAAGGAAAGACGTCTGTCTCTGCAGAGTTATATAGACAGTCACCTTACAGAGTTGGACCATGGACCACAGATGCAAATTATGACAGACATACTAGACTTCTCAAATTTGCCTCAGTGAGTGGACTTCTCAAACGAGTCACTGTGGAGCTGGGCAACGGCGGATTCCATGCTTCACCCGAGCTCTTAAGTCAAAAGAAAGCTGCATGAGAAATGGCAAATGCTGCTCTCTTAACGAATTCAGCTGTTCAAGACATGTTCAACGAGAATGCTTTATCCAATGGTTCTAGAATAAAGAACCTAAACATACCTAAACCCATTCAGATCTTGTTTTCGGAGTCAGTCCGGCAAACAATTCAAAAAGGTCACCATCGCCTTGATGTCGTCCCATCGACGTCCCGCCTGTGAGATCCTCTCTCCATTCCAGGGTGTAATGAAGTCTACCTTGAATACAAAAAGATTTCCACATCAATCCATATAGCTATACAGCCCAAAGTGATTTTTGAACGCGGGGAACACTCCAGCAAAATGGGCTTGAATTGCAACCGCTGTTTGGCAACATACCCACTATCTCGGATGGAACCAAACTCGTGTTCTGCAAGCTATTGAACACCAGTGGAAGGCCAACCTTCAAAAAAAAGGTCCAAGTGAACCGGACTTGCTGAACAGAGTACAAGCGTAGCATAGACCTGAAACATGTATCGTGTCTGTTCTTACCTATCGCATAATTTCGGAAAAATGCATTTGTCAAAGAGTACCTTCAGAGCTCATGTTGCCTTTGCAGCAATGATGATAGCAAGGTGGAACATTTAGAGTAAAGAACTCACTTTGCAAAAAAAACAAATTAACTGAGTGTAGAGTTCGGCTTGTGGCCTTTCTGATCCGTGGAGTTTCTGTACAGGATTACAGTCTTACAGTGCTTACAGCCTTGATGGAGGCACCTTGGCTCGAACACGCAAGGACGCTACTAGATTCCATTGCGATTCAATTTTCTACATGTTGATGTTTTCTGAAGTTTTCTGTGGGTTGCCGTGATCCAACACCACTTGTTGGTACCAGCTTTAAGTTTCTACATAGAGTGCAAACAGCATGGAATTGTTCTGTAAACGTCAAACATATCTATTCATTCTTGCGCGTTTTCCTCTCCCAATCGCCATGGCACACCGCTTCGAAACAAGTACTTGTTCTCCTAGCCTGGATTGTTTCTAAATCATTCCATTGCGATTCAATTTTCTACATGTTGATGGGTTCTAAGGTTTCCTATGGGCTGCCATGATCCAACCCCCATGGCACACCGATTCTGACCCAAATGTTGGCACAGGGCATTGCATGCAAGCGTGCCTGAAAGCACCAGACGACACCCCCCTCACACTATATCGCCAATAGGGCGTTTCTCGATTGTACAGTCCTGAAGAGACTCACGAGAATGCCAGGCCAAAGAACTACGTGCAGAGGACGTATGCTGAAGAAAATGCATGTGCGCTTTGTCCTGCGTGGCGTTGGCCGCAATTGCTGCATGTGATCCCAGATCTTGGATGTGTGTCGGACTTGGGCTGAGTCCATCAGAAACAGTATCAATCTTAGCCACCAATTTCGAACAGAATTGTGAATTCACATCCATACACAATACAAGATTCTAGGAGGTCCACAATGACAGACACAGCTGTTCCAGTCGCACTCCATAGCACAGTCTGACTAGTCCTTATCGATCGCGCATGCTTGAGTTGCATGGGAAGGCCAGGCAAAACAAAGTGGAAAGTGGCATCACACGGTGATGACCTCAGAGGCTGTGCAGGACTATATCCAAGACAATGCCTGGCGAAGTTAGAACTGTGCCCAGCATAAGTCCATGCATGCTACAGTGGACAATGCTAAAGGCAGAGCATTTCGACTACCCTCTTCAGTCTCAATGGAATAAAAGATTGCCGTTTTGGATTGCAAACGACTTCTGCCAAATATGCCCATGCTTGTGTGCTGCCAGTGAGCTGGCCTGGTTGCGAGCCTTAGCTCCTGACCGGTGTCCGCACGCGACGGTGGAAAGGTAGCTGATTGGCACCCGGGTGAGAACCTTAGTTCCTCGCCTGGTCAGGGTCCGTACCCTGCCAATCTTGTACAAAGTGGGCATACAGCACCACGCTAGCCTTTTCACGTTTCACCTTGTTTCACAAGGGCCATGCATGAAGGAGGCAACCGACTCATGAATGCAAACCCTGTCCTTTCTGGAAAGCTTCCCCTGCGCAACTGTGTGTAATAGTTGTGCCCTGATGCAGGCTGTTTTCCGAGGCCTGAACAGCATCGCAATCGAATAAGATCAGGACTGCTGCAGCCAGTAAGCACCAGCAGACGTTGTCAACCATTCGAAATTGGCTGTAGTGCTTACAACCCAACCTGGCAGGGGCAGAATTGTCCCTTGAACACGCCTGAAGGCCACTGGGACGTGGCCTTCACGGTTTGCAGTATGTCAATACCCCATCGCATTGTGTGAAAACACGGAAGCGAGCGCGACCCCTTTTTGAATCCCGCTCTTGAGCCAAACGTTACAGTCGGTTTGACTGTATGTTCTGTTCATCCACTCTTCTCTGAAGAGGTCTGACTGGTCACAGTCGTCCAAAACATACTCAAAGTACAAGAAAGTATCTCAAAACACTCTCAAGCAAAGCTAGTCTATACACAGCTCATCTCAAGCACTACAGCTCTATACTTAGGGCTTCTCTAGACAGGCTCCTAGCCACTTCTGGTCACATTCCACTTAGTCCTGCTAAGGTGGTCAAAGAGAACACACTCCAAGGAGGAAGATCCCTACTCAGCTCCAACCCCAAGGACAGAAAAACGAAAAGTTCCACTACACAGAGGTACTAGGTGATCCACACACTGTACAGGCGTGCTACCCACACTTTTCACACCCCTTCTTGGGTCACCTCGTACCTTCTCCTGGTCTTCCTGTCTTCTTCTTCTCTTCAATTCGTTTTCTCTGAGCAACTAAGGTTCGAGCATCAACTAAGATCTCAACTCCTGTGGTCCAAACTGGTCTCCAGGTCGATCAAACGTCAACAGATCAAGAACGACAAGCTTCAAGCAAGTTCAAATCAAGATCAACCAATCGACCAAGGTTCAACCAAGCAAGACAAAACAAAAGGTCAAGGTCCCTCAGACAGCATGGCCACAAAGAGCTTCACAGAGCTAGCTCTTGGCTCATGCTTGTGTCATCCTTGGGACCTTGAAACCAAAGTGGTTTCAAGTGAACACCTGACAGGTCAAAACTACAAACGCTCTTCATGACAAAACCTGCCAAGTCCAAAAGCGCACAAAGCTTCAAACAGCACGCGAAAATGAAGCCTAGCCTCAACCCCTTAGCTACAAGCCCTGGGTTACTGTTTGCCTGACATCTTCTGAAGCACATCTTGAGTTCAAAAACCCTTTTACTTACCTTCAACTGCAACCAATCAACTCGACATCAAATCGATGCAAATGCCGTCCTGTCCCAAAGTCCACAGCAATCAAAGAAGTCTAGCCATCCCTTCTAGCTACAAACCCTCGGTACTGCTGGGCATCATCCACAAAGACAACATCGGGCAAAGACAAATTGAATCACAAGTGAATCTTGGTTCCTGACAATCCAGTGGTTCCAAACCTGGTGCCTGCTTGCAAAACCCTGGCTGCTTGCAAGACTGAACAAGACACACATCACACAGCAAGAAAACATTCTGCAGTCCAACTCGAAAGGTCAAATTGAGCAGAAATGAACAAGTTGAACAACATCAGAAACCCCTTTTTCAAATCTCGTGGTGCTGGAGAGCTTTCTGGGACTCATATGGATTAGGTTGCTACAACCCCTGCCAATGCCGCTTTTCAAAAGACTTGGACTCAGACCTAAATCTCTGGCCCCTCAAGCTCTACAAGGACCCAATGGCCATCGGCCGTCTTCATGCGCTTGAAGGTCCTCTCATATTGCGGTCTGATGGACCCAGAAGCAACTCCACTTCCACATGCTCCAGCTGGTGTGCTTCCGCTAGCTGGTGAAGTCATGGTCATGAATCCAGCTGGCTGCAAGAAACCCGTTCCTGCACCAAACACCGCTCCAGATCCCACTGCCACTCCTGTCTGAGGAGAGACGGGCATCAACTTTGGCCGAACCACAGGCGTCAAAGGTGCTGGTGGCACTGTCAACCCTGTACCCAAGGTAGCTGGTGGTGCCGCTGTCGACCCTGTCCCCAAATTTGGAACAACATTTGATGGTGGTGGAGGAATTTCGGAGCTGTCGCAGCTGTCGAACTCGACTTGCGCTCCTCCTTCTTCCCCTGAATCTCAATGAGCTTCTTGATATTGTCGTTCAAAGCAGACAGCAACTTGTTCGTGTCCTCCTGGTTCTTCGTCTGCTTGCTAAGCTGAGAATCCACCTGAGACATGATTTTCCCTAAGGAAGTGGTCGTCTCCTTGATACTGGTGTTGATGTTTTTACCACTTCCTGAGACCTGCCAGGAAATGTTTTCAAGATGCTTTACTCCCGCTCTCTGATTTTTCGAACTCTCCTCGCCGGTGTGGCGAACTGAGGCACTCAATCCGATGATGCCGTTCACAAGCTCGATGAGCTCCAAGCCCTGATCTTCCATGCGCTGCTTGGAAGACATCTCAAACTCTGACACCGTCGAAATGAAGTTCGCCACGTCTCTAGTGACATCTTGCAAACGAGCAAATCTACCGATTGCCCATCGCAATAGGTCCTGCAAATGGTCTCGTTCCCTCATCCTGCTTTCAGAAGATGCACGTGGTAGTCCCGAAAGCGCAGCCATATCGGATTCCGGCTGGAGCAGCTGTTCAAAATAGATGTTTATAATCCCTAAGAGGTCCTAGCTTAAAGACCAAACATGTGTACTGATACCAGGCAAGGATTCATTGACCAATAGTTATTAAGTTATTCTATAAAGCAATGAGGACACATACGTATGAATGTCACGAAATCGAAACACAGCTTGAAGAATCGCTCATTTGTTTTTCACGCAGCGAACTGGGGTAGTACATCGAAAGGCATTCCTTTGGAAAAAGACGCACTTGACACCAGACATCTCTAGTGTGTCTTAGTTGCGTGTATGCAACTTGCATTCAGTTTTCTTGATTGCATTCAATCAGGTGTGCCTTGCACCCCTGTCCGCTTCAGCAGCATTCCTGAAGTTGTGTCTGCAATATGGGACACCATGCACGGTCTTTGTGCATCGGTCTTAGGAACTCTAAACCCTCAAGAGTCCCTCGGCTTGGGGGGTCTGCAACATTTGATTCCGAAGGCACGCGAGTTGCCCAAGCGTAGCAAGGTTTTTCTAAGTCGTCCTTTTCGATAAAGTACAAAAGAGCTCTCCACGTCGATTCCTTGGAGGTTCCCGGGATGTAAGAATCAAGCACGGCCCAGTTGTCTATAAAGAAAATCACGCGACGTTCGTGGAGATGGGTTTTCCACGTGTGCCTTGCCACAACCAA